CCCAAAACCCCAAAACCCCAAAACCCCAAAACCCCAAAACCCCAAAACCCCTAAAACTAAACCTATATTGAATAATAATACAAAAATCTGTAAAAATGGAATCTGTTCATAATGAATTTTGCCAAAAAGTAAACCAAGCTTTCAAAAGAATCCCCAGTACTTTGCCTAATTTCACCTTACATGCAGTGAAGTACTTTCTTTGGAACTTTGATAACCCTCAGAAATCTTACAAAATAGTTCATGTGGCTGGGACTAATGGAAAAGGATCCGTCTCGATTAAAACTGCAGCTTTGCTTAGAAAGTCTGGATATAAGGTTGGCCTCTTTACTTCTCCACATATCTCCAGTGTCAGGGAAAGAATCAGGTTAAATCTAGAGCTGATTCCTGAAGAAGAATTTATCAAATATTATGATATCTGAGAGAAATTTGAAACAGAGTTAGAAATCACACTTGGATTTTTCCAAGTGACACTCTGAATGGCATTACTTTACTTCCAACAAGAAAACTGAGATTATGTTATTCTAGAGTGAGGTATCGGAGGGTTGTCCTCTTCTACTAATGTGGTCGATTCAGATTTTGCAGTCATTACATCAATAGGACTTGACCATAAAAATGTACTTGGAGTAACAGAAAAGCATATATGAAGGGATAAAGCAGGAATTATTAGACAGAACATACCTTTTGTAGTGGGACCGACTATTCCTTTAGATATAATAGAGCCAATATGAAAGATCCATAATTCTAAATTAGTGGTTGTTGATGAGAAGAATGAAAATTTTGTAACATTGAATCAAAGTATTTCCTATGCTCTTTACAAGGAAATCATAGAAGTTGCAGAAGAGGTTCCTCATGAGTTGAATCAAGAAGAAATTGACTTGGCCTTGGATGTTAATCTGCCATGTAGAATGGATCTAATCCCAATTGAGAATGTCAAAGATTTAGCTCCTGGACTTGATTTTTATCCTAAAGCTTCATATATGGATGTTGCACACAACTCACCTGCATTTAAAAGTCTGTTCAAGACTGTACTTTCAATTTATAAGGACTTTGAAGACTTAGTGATCTATGTCATTTGTACATTCAGTAAAGATAAAGAAATTTCTGAGTCTCTAAAAGCTCTTTGAAAAGGGGCTAATGATATTAGAATAGTAGTGATAAAACACTTTAAACTGATTAAAGAAGATGCAGCTATAGGATATATCTCACAGGCTAAATCATCAGAGTCACCTGACACTGAAAAGATCAACGATCTCTATGAAAAAGGAGACTTAAAAGAAAATGTGATAGCTACATTAAATAAGATTAATGAGTTAAAGCATGAAAATGCTATTCTCCTTCATTGAGGATCTGTATTCTTGATGGAATTTATAAAAGACTTGTATAAAGTTCCTCAAGAGAAAGATCTGGAGAATTTAAACAGTCAAGTTTAATTATTGTACTTACTCTTCAATAATAAAGTTGAAAATAGGGGTTTTGGGGTTTTGGGGTTTTGGGGTTTTGGGG